CATTTATCTGCTGAAATATTATAATAACCCAAAACTGCAATTTAAAGGTCCACACTACCGAATATGTTTAAAAACATTATCATATACATCCATAACCTAAATGTGTAGAGATAGATATACAGCAATAAGCTGTACGTGTATACAAGGTTAATGTACCTAAAATGTCTTAATGATGACTAGTGAGCGCTTTACACAGTTCCTCCCAGGTGTGGGAATGGGATGGGAGAAAAGGAGACCTCAGCATTTTAGTGTGCCTACTTTCAGAGTATTTTTTAGTCATATATATCAAGTAATTAAAAAGAAAAAAATAGGTAAGTCTTAGGCTCAAGTGCAGCAAAATGAGACATGGGAATGAGATGGCAGGGACTAGGTTAATCTAGTGGGGTCCTTTAAGGCTTTAAGAGCTCAAAACAAGAGGGTTGATAATACCCAAGAAAGACTGGACTCCTGAGTACAAAACATTTTAAAAATGCATGCCTTGATTTAACAATGGGTTAGTAGATATCTTTATACATTATCACCAGACTGATAGCTTGTGTACATATTAGGGAGAGTAATATTAAAGAAAAGACAAGATATCTCACTGTTTTCTTTAAGATGAGAACAATATACTTCTTTGAATTTGATTTAAAATAAAAATGAAACACCACACCTCGGGTCAAATTATCAGTGTATGATCACGTACAATACCCAGGAATGAAGGAAATTGTGTTCCATTCAGGAAAAAAAATATCTCAGGAGACACACGACCTTGAATTGTTTGACAATCACTGCATGCACACACGTGTTTGTACTTGTAAGCATGCCTGTACACATACTTGTAAGCCATGCGCCCAGAATTAATCCTCCTGAGCACTGTCTGCACAGCACGGTACAAAAATGTCCCATAGCCCTCTCCTAAACTCAAAAGTTTAAAAAAACAAAAACAAAAAAATGAGTAAAATAAGTGGCCATTTTCTCAACTCCACTTCCCTTTCCAGCTATTCCATCTCTTCTTTCCTTTCCTTGAAATTATTATCCATATTCCCTCAATATATCCTCCCACTTGTTCCTAAACCCACTCTAGGTTTTCACTCCTACCGCCCCCATCGTATACGGACCACCAAGACCTTCTGGTTGCCAAGGCAACGGTCACTGGCCAGAATGCATCGTTCCTGTCATAGCAGCAGTAACCACAGTGTTAACTAGTCCATTCTCAAAACACTTCACTTGTTTAGTAGAGCACTTTCTGCATCTCATAAGTCCCAAACCTTACCAACTCCTATGACTTAGTGAGGGCCACTAACAGCAGGGGCAACCTGAGACAAGGTGAACAACAAAAACTTGCCTTTGATGAATGAAAATAAATGTATAAAAAGCCATGAGTTCATACCGTCATCTTAAAAAGATCTCACTGATCACCTTTTGGAGGTTGCTATGTCACCATGTCATGATATGTTAATTGGTAAGAGGAAAGAAATCCAGAATTGAACCTGCAGTGTTCCTTTACTGACATTTCAGGGTAATCAAAGTTGGTAAGGGAATGTTTACAAAGGAATCACAGGTAATAAGTGCAGGAAGTAATAAGGATGGATAATTAATCCTTAATGAAATAAGATACAAGCAGTGCTCAGTGGCTGCTAAGACAGTCAAAAGGATGATGAAGAACTTTATATTTGATAAATGAGCCTGACAAAAGCTGAAACCACTGATCCATTCTGACAGTAAAAGTACCAATCTATAGTGAAGCACTGCCTCCCAAAATCTTGACTCTGACTCTTTAAGTTCTAGCTTTAATGACCAATTTACATGTAATACAGAGGGTAAAGGATCGTGTTAAATGACCTCATACGGTAAGATGGGTTCAAATAGTGGAAAACTATAGGAGAAAAGAGACAGTGTATTCAACAAACAAGTCAGGAGGTAGGAAAAAAGTGTGGAGATTAGGAGGGTGCCACTGATTGAAAAAAATTTAATAGACATCAGGAGAACACACATAATGGGTCTTAGATGACACTGAGGAATCATTACTACTTGTTGACTATGATGACATTGTGGCTGTGTGAAGTGATGAATCTGCTAAAGAAACGTAAGAATTTATAGGTGATGTGACAAAAACAGAACACTGACTGTCACTGAAGCTGAGTGATGGATCCATGGGAATTCATTTTGCTTTCTCTTCTACTATGACATATACAGGATTTTTCCTAATTTTTTTTTTAAAACAGGAGCTACTGACAACTAGGATCCCAGGGAACATCCTTATCTCAGGCCTCCACATCCACCTGCAGACACCCTATTAGTGATGAAGTGCTCCGTCCCTTACAGAAAGCCTTCCACAGATAGTTTACCCTCAGAGGGCTAAGTGTTTGCTCCATTTTCTAGTGAACAAGGGTGCTCATACACGTGAATTTTGAGAAAGATTCATGCATATTAACCTACTCTCTGGTCACAAGAAACAGTCTCACAAACTGGTCCTTAGTAAAGGCCAGAAGTCCTTACTAAGTCCTTTACTCCATCATCTGCTCTGGGAAGGCCCTTACATAAACAAACACCTATTATATGCCAAGTACAGTGCTAAACAAGACTGGTTCTTACCCTTAGAAAGTCTGTGAGTTAGTGGACTGAATCTAAGCCACCCAGCCCCTTGAAATCCTTCCTGAATAGGACAAAGAACAGCAAATATTGACGATATATCCATGCATGCTCTGCTAGTATTTTACATATAGGATCACATTTAATCCCCACAACAGGCCTATAAAGGACACGGTAGTATCATCCTTTCACATGTAGATATGAGTGTATAATTTGAAATAAAGCACAAAGCAGTCAAGTGCCTTGCTCAAGGTTCTCTACCTCATAGGTAGCAGAGCTGAGATTTGAACTTGGGGAGTCTTGCTTAAGGACTCTCTCTAACCTACACCATTCAGCCACCACGCTATAAATTCCAAGCCACTCTTGCTGGAGTGTATTCAATTCGAGTACCAAAGAGATCTGGGTTGGCCTGGCAGGTAAGGTCAATAGGACTTTCTTGGCCAGCAGACCAGAAGATGCTATTCAGCACTAAGCCCTGGAGTGACAGAACTTTAAGGAATTACACTGCAGGCAAACAAAGATCGTGCCCTGGCTCATCTCAGTGGTTCACAGATGGTGACAGCTAGCAGTAGGGTGGCAGCAGAGCTGGACTCTCCAGGACAGGTGCCCCGCCCCTTCCTGACAACAGCAGGTACACAGCATGGTGCTGGCTGGACAGAGGCAGAGGGCAGCACCTCTTTATGCTCCCCATCCTGTGCTTTGCTGAGGACATTCGCTCTGCTCCTCCACTCCTGGCACTGAGGCCTTTGCTGGACTTTCTCTGCACCTTAGGTCTCTCCTCTGCCAGCTGCCTTTACTAGTTGGCAGAAGAGCCCCTGACAGCTCCGTAGCCCTGAATCATAGCGTGCTGTATCCTAGGCCTCTCTGCTGTCCAGCTCTAAGGCCCAGCCCCAACCAGAACACTTTGGGACCAATCGAAATGTCAGGATTCCATGTGGCAGCTCAGAGCGTCTCACAGGCCCCTCATCTGTGAAATGCAAATGATTATTTCTCGGAATGGATGGTGATATGCCTGTCAGGTCAACAGCCCCCTTCTTCCTCTTACTGAATTTAAATCTCGGATCAAATGCAGTCATATGCTACATAATGACATTGTAGTCAAGGATGTACTATACATATAGCAGCAGTCTCGTAAGAGTATATCACCTGGAGACATCACAGCCATCTTCATTTGTGAAGTACACTCTGAATACCAACACCACAGAATCACCTACACACACGCCTCAGAACTTATCCCAGTCATTAACCAGCACATGACCGCAGCTGACCAAAACCATCTTTGTTTAAAACCTGACAACTCAAAACAGAGCAGAGGCTACAGTGGTGATGCCAGCCCCATTCAGGCCCCATTCATTCATGATGTGCTTAAACACAGAAGCTCCTGCAGCAGCAGAGGTAAGGAAGGGCAACCTGTCTCTTCTCATCAGCATACAAACATTCAGCTCTAGTACTGGTCTGTCCTCCCTTCCAGGCTCGGTCCATCCTCTAGTGTTCTCCAAGCTCACGGCTTTGGGCCAATATGTCACAAAAAGAATGGCCTGGCCTCACTCAGGCCATGATCTTCACGATGTTTAAAAATCTAAACGGAGAAAAAAACAGTCTCTACCAGTTTCACCAGAGAAACCTGGGGATGAGGCACCATCACTCTTTCTCTCCACCCTAGGGGCTGCCTCTCAACTCCCCATTTAGTGAGGAGCTAAAATGTTAATGACTTTCTTTCAGTCATTCAGCAAATGTGCATTGCATACCTGCTGGTGCCAGGGATGACCTTTGAAGAGGAGGGAAATAAGCAGAAGTGGGATCTGGAAATGGCTCTATACTCCTTAACGATCCTATGCACAGTTCCACAGCCAGCCAGCCTAGCCACTGAAGGCTGATTCAACATGAAACACAACAGACACCAGCACCTTGCTCCCAAATGAGAAGCCACCTCCCACGGTGGTGAGGCAGGCAGCCAAGACACAGAAAGGGTTTCATTAGAGAACAGTCAGGATACGTATTTAGGATATTCATTACCAAGAAAGAAAATATGCTTGATATTCAACCCCCACACCAGTCTACCTAATAATTTCCCATTTCCAAATTCCAATTCTGATGGTTCAAACAAGGCAGACGTAAACTAAGGCATTAAAAATTGAGAATTTTGAACATAAAATTATTAAGAATATAAATTTTAAATTCATTGAACATAAGCTATATGGACTGCTGTCAAATAATTTAAAGATACTATATAAGTCGCACCAAAATCCACAATTTCCTATGATTAAATACATGTGTGGTCGGGCATGGTGGCGCACGCCTGTAATCCCAGCACTCAGGAAACTGAGGCAGGAGGATCTCGGTGAGTTCGAGACCAGCCTGAGCTATATAGTGAGTTCCAGGTCAGTCTCAACTACACAGTGAGACCCTGTCTCAAAACCCCCCCCCAAAAAAAAAACCATGTGTGTGTGTGTGTATGTGTGTGTGTATACATATGAGAGAGAGTGTGCACGTGTGCACAAGAGCATGAGAAAGCCAAAATATGTACACATCAGGAAAAGAAAAATGTGTATAAATATTTTAATACTAACTTTATCAAGACATCATTAGAATTAATCCACATTACCAAGGGCCTCTACAGTCACAAGAGTGCTCCAAGTGGTGGCCCTTAGCTTCCAGATTGCTGGAGTATATATACATTTTTTTGGCAGACTCTCTATATATACATCACTTTTTTCCCTAATGGCAAAAGAAAATCTGTATTGACCAATGCAAGGCACCTCATGAGTCAAACTGTTATTAATGGGAAAAACATCCATGTAGTAAAAAATATGTTGATCAAGGAAGTCTTTACGAAAGTCTATCCTTTGTGTCTGTTTGCTAGCTTTTATTTTATCTGGGCTGGTCACTTAGTTCACAGCTTTAAAAAAATAAATCAACTTGGGGAGGTAAATCCACCTCACCACAAATGATATAAAGTATCTCTTACTCTCTTGAGTGAGTCTCCTGTCTTCTTTCATGCCTCTGCCTGCTCCCTTACCACCACTTCTCAAAGCAAATGTGTTCTTTGGGAACATGGTTGTTTTCTAGTTGCTTGGAGAAAAAGTCCGTCATTGGAGGTGGTCCACAAATATAGAATAAAGTCTCATTTGAAATATGACCTTTTATCTCCTCCTCCATTATTCTTCCTTCTACCAAAAAACAGAATAAACATGAAATTAAACCACACATGTTTGTATTCTGAAATGAAGAGAGAGTAGGCACAATTCAGCAACAGTGTTTATTTGCAGTAAATCAAGCCCAGTGTGTCTCAGAGCTTCTTAATCTTACAGCAAGCAAAGTGGGAAGCTAACCATAACTACTCGAAGAGAGAACCAGCTACCTTACTGGCCTTTGATAGAGGCAAAACAAATACATAAAGTATTCTATAAATATAAGTTTTATAAAACCCTTCAAAATGGGAAACCCTGAGTAACTCAAATGACTATTACTAGCAAATGCAATCAATTCACCCAAGGTTGGAATATAAATTTTTTGTATGCACAATATAGCAAAGACACAAGGGCCTCCTTAAATATGTGAAAAATACGGGCAGTAGAAAGTGTATATAATAAGTAAATCCAACCAAGTATTTCCTTGTTTTTCCATGATGAATCATCTCTCAATTCCCCCTGTACTGACAATCCCAGCCAGCAACTCCCAACAGTAAAGCATCTATGCTCAACCAACTGGTATGTCCACCAAGTAACTACATAGAGATAATCAAAGTATCTTTAGGGGACTCACCCGTGATGTACGGCCTAAGTTCTGCACTGATTTGTGTAGTCTGTTTTGTAACATGCAAACTGCACGCAATCTTCTCCGGAAATTCATTTACTAAATCGAGGATATTTTTCTGGAATGTCAAACATATTTGGTCACACTACAATTTTAAAAAATCAAAACAGATGTGCATTAGCCACTGACGCTGAACCTCAACTCCCATTCTGCACACGTCTGCCACTCTTACTCACTACTCAGGGAGATATTGTTTGCAGCCTAGCAGGCCAGAGCATTCAGAGCACAGAGGGCTATTTGGCTTTAATTGAAATCTGAATATGCTAACAAGCATATTACTAACTCTCCGGGAGTTTTTTCTTTTTCCTTTTTCTCAAGCATTGGCAATTAAGCAGCAGTTTCACTGACCACAGTTGTGTCTTTTAACTGTTTCTATTCTTTTGTTCATTTCTGCAGCTGCTAAGCAGTCCTGAGTGAAAGCTTTCTCTGTTGAATGTACTTAGTTTCAACAGATGCAACCGAGGGGGGTTTCATTTACCCAGCTGGGTCCAAACTATCTGGACCTCACCTACTCCTGTAAAAGATGAGCCCATTTGTGGGTCTCCTGACTCTTTCCAGGATCTCAGGGTCATAGTGACTTTTATGTTCACCTAACCTCCAGATTCCATCCCACCAAAACCCACTTTACCTTGGCACTAAACTTGGAGCCTCCTCAATACTAGCAGTTTTATTTGTCCTGGGTAAGATGTGTTGATTAATTCTCATTTGAACATGATAAAGCCTTGCCAAGCCTTCTGTCTGAACTTTTGCAGAGAAATCAGAACCTAGGTAAGACATTTTTGTGGATAATACCATTATGCAAGTTTGCTTACAGCAAACTGAAAAACATACATTCCCCCTCTTACCTTAAACAAGAGTTCGCTAGTGTTCTTTGCACTGTAGAAGAGTTTTACTGTTCCTATCTCATAACCACTTCTTTTGTTTGCCCACTCTCGGTGAAGATCTGCTGAGTACCGCAGGATGGAAAGCAGGGGGTTAATTCCGACTCCTCCTGCAATCAACACGAGGTTTCTGGGGGCATCTGTGGGCTGAGGGTCAAAGAAAAACTCTCCACCCACTCTCACAGCCACTTCAGAGTCAAGTGTACACTACAACAGGAAAGAAAGATCCTTTAGTCCTTTGTAGCACAGGTCTTAAACCAAATGTTCTACTTTAATAAAACCAACCGCCTACCTTCTGTATTTGTATCAATGTTTAGAACTATTTTTGCAGCTTGCTCTCAATTTTCGTGGGGTAATGTGAATTGACTCCACTTGTTCATTATGTAGGTCACTTGCTGCCCCACCTCTGTGATCCTTACTGCACACCTACTCCAGTTCTGAGGAAAGGTGACTTGCTTCAGTGATTTTGCTAACTGTTGACTTCTCGGTGATGAAATGAGTTGACAAAAGTGGTAATGAACTCCAGCCGGGGACAGCTATGGCCAAAGGGTGTCCTTTATCTGAGTGGTGTTTCTTACTCTCATCATGGCTGAGAGTAACAGGATGAGGCAAGTGTCACAACCCTGGCTGCCACAGCTCATCAGGGCTGAGATGATGGGTGAGTACTAGGCTCTCCCTCCCCACCAGCAGAGCACAGTCTGACCAGCTCTACAGGCTCAGACCAGCACAATGGTTCTGTTCAACACTGTTCTCTTCTCCTTGGAACAGCCAGAACAGGCACCGAGAGGCTTCACACTAGGAATGAGTCCCACACAGACCCACTCATGTAAAGCACCTATTTCGTGAGGGCATTACACCAGAAATACCACCAAAGCTGAATGCCCTGGTTCTTGATGCGGCGCTACTGCCCCTAGTGGGCTATTTTGGAAACTTGTGGCAACATTTTTTGGTTGGTAACAATGATTTGGGAAACTAAGTGGTGTTTAGAAGGCAGGGGCCAGAGATGCTAGATATCCCACAGAATTACTGGTGTCCTAGAGCTGGCTCCTACTAAGCTGATGGTTAAATCTGCAGAAATTTTGTGAGCTAGTATCTACTGGTAGTTTGAAATGAGCAACTGTGGGAGTTTTTACCGCACAGATCAGCAATGATACAAACGAGCACTTTCTTCATTTGGGGAGCTGGCTTGCCACCATACCATTATCTGCAACATGCAGGACTACTCTGACGACTTCTGAATGGCCCATGGGTTGTTTATGTAGGTGAAGGCTGGATTACAATGATCTCAGACTAGATTCTAACTTTATTTCATAAAGTCTTTTTTGCACAGATCTAATTTGCTCTGAATTTCCAGAATGTAACTCTGTGTAGATCTGCTGTGCTTGGCTTTGTTCAGAACTTTACCAAGCATATTCACTGCTCTGGAAAGCCATATCCAGCTAGTGGCCTGTGTGTCCTTCTGTCACACACAACATTCTTGCATCATCTGCATCTGCAGACCATGTATTCATAATGATTCCATGTTCAGGAAAAACTACCTCACAGCTTCAATCTGTCTTCTTCTTTAGAAACACCCCAGATTTATATATTGAAATATTCTTTGAATAAAGATCACTTTCCATTACTTTTCCTTTATACTTAAGAGAATTATGGCTTTTAAAGTATAGACTTTATTAACTATGAATTTCATTTCAGGATAGTCTAGAAAGGGGGCATTGGATCTGACAGGGTGGAAAACTTGTTCTGGAGAAAAACATACTGATTTAGGCTGAACTTTAATCATAAAACAGATTAAAAATAAGAGACATCCAGCAAGTTCTCCTAATTTCTCTGAGCCTCTGCTGCCCGAAAATGGGTAACAGCACCTGGCCACCCCGCTTCACAGGGTTGTTATGGGCCTTAAATCACACACTGAGGGAAAACTCCCCATTGGTACCAGACTTTAGATAAGAGGGAAGTTTGGTTAAAAAAAAAAAAGGGCTGGGCATGCTTGCTTCCTTCTTCCCTGTCACTAAAAGCCAATCCAACAATACAGCAATTCACATTAAAAGCAAAGATAGGTTTATGCCATTACATATTCCTGGAATAATCCAACGAAATGAATTCCCTCCTAAGAAATAATAACATAACTCACACTTTTTGAGGACCAAACCCTTGGCATTTACACATTGCAGGTGAGTAGTAAGTACTTTCAGACAATAATTTGAGGCTCTAAACTTAAAGACAAGTCAAACTTAGTCAAAAAATGAAAATTAACTGAATTCACAAAATAGGTACTTTTTGGTTAAGAACTCTTAAAAGAATGGAAATCCTTTTTCTGAGAGAAAAAAATGACTGAACTTAACTATTTTAAATAAGTAGGAGATCATTACACGAATGAACTAAGTGGGTTTTAATTTTGACAAAAGAAATTAGCAGCAAGAGAGCACTTGGTTAGGAATAACTAAAATCTAGGAATAGCTGCACTGGCTACCCAAGTGCTTTCAAATGCTCCTTCCAGCCTTGGAAATAGAATCTAAGACACAAGAGGCTCTGCCTAGGGATGACAACGGCTTTCATCTTCCTATATCCTTCCTCTACCTGTCTCTCGCTTGCTTATATAAATCTCTTTGTCTATAGGAATGTTAGCATAAAAGAGATTGAAATGAGAATTTTCTCCAGTGGCCATCTTTGGCATACATTCTTAGTAATGACAACAAAGAAAGCCCTTAGCTTATTGTTTTTAAAAGTAGAGTATGTTCTACCCCAAAGTTGGCAAGAAAATGTGCCCCTGGGAAGGATAATGCCCGAGAAAGCTGTATTCTCTTTAGCGACAAAATAATCCTCAGTAGATCTATCTTCTAATTTGCTAACATTTGGAAAGAATCAAAAACTACTTTTGTCTTTTGTTGATCAATAAAAATTGCAAGAGTGGCATGAACACAAAACTCAAAGCACTATATGGGATATGTAGGTAAATAAGAGGACATTATCTTCAATTACATAGCAATGTATCAAATTTGAGTATAGATTTTCTACTTGTGAAATAACCTTTCCACAGCAACTGGAGCCAAGCACACAATAGCTGTCTAGAAATCCTTACCCTGCCAGGAGTTTGAGCCAAAGCAATGAAATAAAGGAAGATGTTTATGGCACTTTATCCCATGTCCCAACAGAGCAGCCTGCTGCCACCCAGACACTCACGTGCCTCTATTATTGTCCACTCTAATAGCTTAATAAGAAAATCCTCAAGAGGAAAATAGCCACCTGAAAATGGTTCCAAGAAAAATCTGACTTCATAAAGGCTGTTTGCAACTCCCACTGGGCAGAGTAGAGCAGGCACCACAATTAGGATGTGCATTCAGGCAATGCCACTTTCAGATTTCCTACAGCCTCCAAGAGTAAGTTCCTTCATTGAAATGCCAATGAGGCATGAAACCAAGCAGGGAGCCGTGGACCGGGACCAGGTTAGGTCATGTGGGAGGCTAAGGACAACTGGGGGGGGGGTGTACACATCACACTTCTGGCACCAGGAACTTGGGTAATTATGCTCACTTTGAATCTGACAAGGGCATGTGGATATCTTGTTGGTCCCACCCGAGTGGCATAGTTTAGAGACTGAACTAGCAGCCTACAGGCAGTTATGGGTTGAAAATCTAGAGAATTTTAAGAAGTATGATGCAGCTGAGGCCATATCAAAGGAGACTCAGGGGTGATAGGATAAACTGTGACAGGATACATTTATAACAGAAATGCCAATGCAAGCAAGCACCTGGGATTTTCCTGAACAGTTACAATGACAAAATATACAAGAATATATATTTGTGCCTCTATAAACTGAAATAAAGTTTAAATTATCTGATTGTGTTTTTTTAGCATACATCTCTATGAATTTTAACACACGTGTACATCTATGTAACTGCCACCAAAATCAAGATATAAGTAGTTCTGCTGGGCATAGTGGCGCACGCCTGTAATGCCAGCACTGTGGAAAGCTGAGGCAGATGGACTGCAAGTTCAAGCCCAGCACAGGAACCTAGTGAGACCCGGTCTCAAAGTTAAAAATAAAAGGGCGGGGGGCTGAGGATGTAGCTTAGTGCAAAGCACTGTTAAGAAAAAGAGCTCTACCACCCCTAAAAAAGAATGCCATTCCTTTATGCACACAGCTTTCCTACTCCCAACACTTATCAAGCTCTGATCTGTTTCCCATCATTACTTTTGTCTTCTAGAATGTGGCACAATGGGATTGTACAGTATATGTAACCTTTTGGGGCCACTTTTTTTCCACTAAACATGATGCCTCTGAGATTCACCCAAATTGCTGTGAGCATCAATAGTTCTCCCCTCTTTATTGCTGAGTCCATGAATGTAACAGTTTATCCATTCTCCTGCTGGGGAACATCTAAGTTGTTCCTAGTTTTTGATATTTACAAACAAGACTGTTATAAACATTCATGTTAAGTTTTTATATGGACATAGCTTTTATTTCTCTATAGTAAACTCAGGAATGATAGTGCTGGGTCATGTGCTAAGTATATGTTTAGCTTCATATGAAACTGTCATGTTTTCCAGAATGGCTGGATTATTATACTATCTTGCACTCCTGCTAGCAATATAAGACAATTATGAGAGTGTCGGTTGCTCTACATCTTCACCAGCACCTGATTTTCAATTTTAGTTTTGTAATGGAGCAGAAAAATATATCCCAGTACATATCACTGTAATCTGTATCTCTCCTGTGATCAATGTCACTGAACATCTTTTCACTGTTTATCTGCCAACCACATACCCTTTTTTAGTGAAGAATCTATCTGATACTTTGCGCTTTGTGTGGGGGGCGGCAGTACTGGGGATTGAACCCCAAACGCTCCACCACTGAGATACTTCCTAGCCTTTTTTTTATTCCATTTTTATTTTGAGACATGGTCTCAACTAAGTAGCCCAGACTGGCCTCAAACTTGCAATCTTGCCTCAACCTCCCAAGTAGTTGGGCTTACAGGTGTGAACCACTGTCCCTGGCCTTGTCCATTCTTAAAAATTAGATTGCTTCTCTTCTCTTAGTTGACTCTGAGGTTTCTTTTTATGTTCTGGATGTAAATCCTTTTTCCTGAGTATCTAATTTATAAATATTTTTCCTAGTCTATAGGTTATTTTTTAATTCTGTCAATTGTCTTACAAAGATTGGGTGTGGGTATGCACACCTATAATCCCAGCACTCGGGAGGATAAGGCAAGAGGATTACCATAGTTCAAGGCCAGCCTGGGCTACATAGAGAGACAGTGTCTCAAGCCAGGTGTGGTGGCGCATGCCTGTAATCCCAGCACTTGGGAAGCTGAGGCAGGAGCATCACTGTGAGTTCACAACCAGTCTGGGCTACATAGTGAGTTCCAGGTCAATCTCAACCACATAGTGAGACCCTGTCTCAAGAAAAAAAAACAAAAAAGAAAAAAGGGAGACTGTGTCTCAAAACAAAAACAACCCACCCTCCCGCAACAGTATTATAGGAAAAGTTTTAATTTTAACCAAGTCCTCCTATATATAATTTGTTCTCTTATAGAGCTGGCTTTTGGTGTCATGTCTAATGATTTTTTGCTTACCCTCAAATTCCAATTATTTCCTGTTCTCTTCTAGAACTTTCATGTTTTATATTTCTATTACAAACCACTTCAAGTTAATTCTGAATATAAAACATGAAATGTAGGTTAAAGTTACTTTATTTTTTGCATAGAGATGTACAACTGTTTTAGCACTATTTATTGAAAATGCTATTCTTCTTCCAGAATTTCTTTAGCATCTCTGCCAAAAATAAAATGGTCATATCTATGTCAGACAATTTCTATTTTCTTTTTTTTTTTTTAGTTCAAACTGGCCTTGAACTATGTAACCCAGGCTGGCCTCAAACTCATGGCAATCCTCCTGCCTCAACCCCTGGAGTGCTGGGATTACAGGCACGCATCACCACACCTAGCCTGTCAGTCTATTTCTAAATGCTACACTCTGATCTATTTATCTGTATATCTATGCCTTTCAACACCCCACTAATTTGATTACTGTTGCTTTATTTTAATCTTAAATTTGAATAATGTGGTTTCTTCTCATTTTTATTTTTCAGAATTGTTTTAGCTATTCTAGTTCCTTTTCCTTTCCATATAGCTTAAAATCACTTGTCTACATCTATAAAAAAAAAAAAAAACCTTGAGATTCTGACTAGCATTATTAGAAATCATTTAATAAACTAATTTTGTTATTATCTTGAGTCTCCCAACTCATGAATAACAGTTAACTATTTACTCCTATCTTCTTTAATTTTTTCATGAGCTTGAGATAAAGGGGTATTTTTAGAGACCAACTACTTAGAAGATGGTCCTAAATTGAGGAATGGGCCAAAAGAGTATCCTAAACTAGCTAGTTTTCACAACACAAAAGCTCTCAGCCATTTTGAGGGCATAGTAGCCCCTATAAATGTAGCCTGTCTGTTGATTCTTTGTGTGCTCTCCTAGCTGAACCAAACTGCATCCATGTGGGACTTCCACAGCCACTAAATTCAACCATGTTTCCACACTCTCTTGTGCAAACAAAGCATAGCGGTCCCATCCCATTCACATACACACTGTTTTGGAGCACCAAAATAGATCCACTATTGTCCTCTCTCCTCTACTTATTCCCACGTGATTCCTATATAAACAATTCTTTGCAACCTTTAAAAATTTTTCTTTTCTGTTTTCCTTTGTTGACTCTCAATAGTTTCCAGGAAAAGGAGACGATGCTGGATTTCTGAAGCCGTATTTGTACTAGTTGATTTTTTTTTTTTTTTTAATGTAGCCTGTCTGTTGATTCTTTGTGTGCTCTCCTAGCTGAACCAAACTGCATCCATGTGGGACTTCCACAGCCACTAAATTCAACCATGTTTCCACACTCTCTTGTGCAAACAAAGCATAGCGGTCCCATCCCATTCACATACACACTGTTTTGGAGCACCAAAATAGATCCACTATTGTCCTCTCTCCTCTACTTATTCCCACGTGATTCCTATATAAACAATTCTTTGCAACCTTTAAAAATTTTTCTTTTCTGTTTTCCTTTGTTGACTCTCAATAGTTTCCAGGAAAAGGAGACGATGCTGGATTTCTGAAGCCGTATTTGTACTAGTTGTTTTTTTTTTTTTTTTTTGATGAAGGAGGTAAGAAAACACCTTAAATGTGATGGAGGTTGTTGGTACATGAGAAGGCACATTCATCATAAAGAGCATGGCAGTGAAACGAAGACCAGGGTCAAAGACTAAGATGATAACTCAACTGAGTACATTTTTTTGTTACCAGAGGTCTAGCTGGTAAAGATAGTCAGCTTATGTAGGATTTGTGTTGAGCCCTATCATAAAGCATGAGCTCTTAACACTAAATTTGGATTCCCTCTCAGAATCCTACATGGAGAGATCAACAAGGACTGAAAGGGAGAACAGCATGGATTTATATGTGCTCATCTCTGGGCACCAGCAGTCTTATGTAATCAGAAATTACTTCCCCTGCAAATTTTGGACAGAATGATTAATTTCCTTTAATTATGACTGTTATACTAAAATAATTCAATTTACCTCATGTAAAACCTTATGTAAAATGCAAAACGTTTTACTTCTCACAAAGTATTCTATTGAATATTATTTGGTAAGACAAAATAGTTCCAAACTCCAGTCCTTTTGAGTCATACTTAATGTATCAAAAAGATTCTGCTTCTTTACCCTTTCTGGGAAGCTTTGTGTGAATGTGTATCTTTTATACTCAATACCAGGTTTTTTAAGTGGATCAAGTAAGCCCAACATAAATCTTAAGGGAGATAGACATGCTAAATCTCCAGATGATTGCTCACCTCATTGTGAATCCAGAGAGCAGGAGGGTGGTTTGCATATTTCACTGCCAATTCTATCATTCTCTCTTGTTCTAGCAGTCTGGGACTGGAGCATATTGAAAACCCACCAACCACAGGGACTGCTGGGATGAAGAAATCAATCCTAAAAGGAAAGGCAAATAAATGATTACTGATAAAGTAATTTTTGAAAAGGCAACAGCGTAAAGCAAAATAGACAAACTTTAGATAGATGAAGAAAAAAGAAAAATTACTAAAATAAAGAATAGAAAAGGGGCCACTATCACCACCCTTACAAAAACAGAGTATAAGGGAATTTTATGAACTGTATACCAAAAATTAGTTAACTTAAAGGCATATATTCCTAAAAAGATAATAAACTACTAACTGTGACTCAAGAAGAAACACAAAATATGAATAGAACCCTAAGAAATAAAAGAATTAGTAATTTAAAAACTCTCATAAAGAAAAGCTCAGGTCCAGATGGCATCACTGGTGAGAACATTTAAAGAGTATTTATCCTTTACAAACTCTTCCTAAAACAGAAGGAAACACCTTCCAACTCACTGTATTACCATGTTATCAACACCAGCCAAAGATAATGCAAGGAAACTATGGACTAATTTCCCTTCTGAATAAAGACACAAAACTCCCCAGGAATACAAGGTTAGTTTAACATTTGAAAATCAATCAATATAATATCAGTAGAATACAAAATAAAACCCATATGAATCTCTTACTAGACACAGAAAAGGCATTTGATAAAATACAACATTCACGATGAAAACACGAATGTAGGAATAAATGAGAACTTTTTCAACACAGTAAGGGACATCTATAAAAGACAAACAGCTGACATCAAACTTAATGGCAAAAGGCTGAACATTTCCTCCTTGGAACATGTTAAGTATGTCTACTCCTACCACTTCTATTCAACACTGTACTATGTTCTACCCAGTGAAAGCAAGAGAGTCAAATACAACATATCCTGAGTAGAGCAGGAAAGGCATGAGCTCATACACAGAAAATCCAAAGGAATTTACTGAAAAGACATTAATAAACAGGTTCAAACAAAATTTCAGAACACAAGATTAGTATACAAAACTCAGTATTTCTTCTCTACACTAGCAGTGAAAAATCCAAATGTGAAGCTTAGGAATAAATTTCATTTATAATAGCATAAAAAGAATATAATTAACAAAACCAGCTTAAGACCTGTACACTGAAAATTTTAAAACATGGATGAAAAAAACTGAAAAAGCCAAATAAATGGAAAGATATCCCATGTTCATGAAGTGGAAGACTTAATGTTTCTAAGATGGCAACATTGTTCAAATTTATCTACTAACTCAATGCAATATCTGCCAAAACACTAGCTGGTTTCTTGTATAAACTGACAGCTTGATCAAAAAGTTCATATGGAAAATTGAAGGAAGCCAGAATCGTGTAAAAGAATAAATTTGAATGACTTATATCCTAATTCCAAAAGTTACCACAAAGCTAGAGTAATGAAGACATTGTGGTACTCATACAGTGTAAGGATAGACATACAGATCAAAATAAAATAATTACAAGTCCAAAAATAAATCCTTATATTTATTTTTTTTAACCCTTACATTTATGATCAGTTGACTTTTTGACAAAGGTGCCAAGAAATTTTATTCAGCAAATGGTACTAGGACAACTGAATATCCACATGCAAATAGTGAAGTTGGACCCCTACATTTTATCTTATATAAAAACTAAGTAAAGATGAACACGAATTTAAATAAGTACCAAAACAATAACTCCTAGAGGAAAATACTGGCAATGATTTCTTTAGATAGGACACCAAACCACAATAGTAAAAGGAAAAAAAGGGAGATACTGGATTTCATCAAAATTAAAAATTCTTCTACAAATGATATCAAGAAAGTTAAAGAGACAAACAGGGTCCAGTGGCACATCCCTGTTACTGTAGCTCCCTGGGAGGCTGAACAGGAAGATCTTAAGTTTGAGCCCACTCTGGGCAACTTAACAAGACCCTATATCTCAATCAAAAAGGCTGGACAGGACCTGGGTTCAATCCCCAGTAGCTAGAAAGGAAAAAGAAAAGTTAAAAGATAATTTTTTCAAGGAACTTAAATTCATAGATTATACAAAATATTCCAACTCAGTAATAAAGACAACCCAAATTTTAAAATGGGCAAAGGGTTTTCATTAACATTTTTCAAAGATAAATAGCTAATAAGCATCTAAAAAGATGCACAATTACCATTAGTCATTAGGAAAATGATAATCAAATCCACACCCAAAAGATAAACAATAGCTAAGTGTTGGTGAGGATCTGGAGAAACAAACTCTTACACATTTATGATCAAACAATGTAGCCACTTTAGGATGCAAGCTGGCAGTGCATGGCAACGTTAAACAGAGTTCTCATATAGCCTAAAATTCCACTGTTAGGTTTATATCCCAGAGAACTGAAAATATGTCCACTCAAAAACATGAATGCCAATGTTCATAGCAGCATTACTCATAACAGCCCAAAGTGTAAAAAATCTAAATTGTCCACGAGATGATGAACAGATAAACAAAATATGGTATAGCCACATAACAGAATGAAGTATGACACATGCTACAACACAGATACACCTTGAAATTATGTTAAATGAAAGAATTATTTTACTGAGACTTAATCATATGATTCCATTTATATAAAATATCCAGAATAGGCAAATCCAAGAGACAGACAGTAGATTAATAGTTGTCTATGGGGCGGGAGAATAGGGAGAGAATGGTAACTGGTCTAGATTTCTTCAGGGGATGATAATAAAGTCCTTAAATTTGGATTACGATGGTAGTTGCACAATTCTGAGTGTAATAAAATTTAGTAAACTGGATACTTTCAGTGAATTTTACATGTAAATTAAATCTCAGTAAAATAATTCTTTAAAAAACAATGGCAATTGCCAGGTGTGCTGACACATACCTGTAATTCCAGCACTTGGATGGCTGAGGCAGGAGGATCACCATGGATTTGAGGCCAACCTCACATAGTGAGTTCAAAGACAGTCTGAACTGTACACCAAGACCTTGTCGCAAACCAAACCAAACTAAAGCAAACCAAGAGCAACGAAAACTCTTTTACTGGTATTTGCCGAATTTACACAGGCTAACATGACCTTCTGAGTTCCAGAGGTTTATATTCCTTTCTTTTCTGCTATTCGTGTTCTTAATATTCTAGAACTCTCTCAAGTTTCAAGCCTTTAGAAACCTTTTTTTGGGGGGGTGGGGGGGGGAGATGCAGGAATTTAAAGGCAAGGCAACAAACCTGGACATATACCAAGGAAAGAAAAATGTATTACAACTTAGCACCACAAGAAATTCTCAACCCCATATCTAGGGAATGTAAACATCCATTTTAAGTGTTTCTCTGCCACAAAGGTGCAAAAAGTAGCATCTCTCCCCAGTTGCTGCCTTACCTGAAGACTTCTCTGAAAAGCATAAGATATTCTCTGCTGGTTAGATCTATCACTTTATATTTTCCTTCAATCTATGGCCTTAAAATATCCGCTTATTATTATAGTCTTAAAACCAGCTCTGGATTAGAGGTGCTCCAGAGAAAAGGTCTCTAGCTTATTTCCACCCACTTTCACTGGACTCTTTCTCATGAATACTAATCTTTAATTTCAGAGAAGACAAAAAATTATTAGTACAGTTGCTATATGCCATCAGGAAACATACAGAATCCCCACTATTTCCATGTTTGAAAAATAAAGCATTGAGCTATTTTTGCTGCTTCATCTCCTGAACTACAGCGCCCTCTTCTGTGCGATGCTGATAAAGACCTTTTCCTCAAGTGAAAGGCAGGAACCCTCTTCTCCAGCGTAACTGTGAAAAGTCACCTTCAGAAAACTGCCTGATACAGAAGAATTCAAATTATCTTAAGAGGCCCATCTGAACATATTAGGAAAAACATGAACAACATGTTTCATAAAACAACTGTCCAAAAACCACCTTGAAAAAAAAACTTTGCAGGATTATGACCCTGGGCGCCATGAGCAGAGGCGCCTACTGCACACACGCAGAACTGAAGAGTACAGGCATGCAGCAGCCGGCATGTCCATGGCCAACCCTGACACCGCAGGCACCAGTCCTGTCTACAGAGGCAGCCCCAGTGCCTAGCTCAGAGCAGGATGCAAACTATGGCCAGATGACTGTGCTGTACTGTACAAGTCCAAACTCTAGTCCTCTGCCACAACACTCAGAGCTCCTCACTCATTCACTTGTGCAAACACAAGGGCAAGCACCTGCCTCCATGGACAGTCACCATGGTACAGCGGTGCCCTGGTTCATGAATGCTTTTGTTTGCAAACAATTTGGTTCACAAAAGCATTTGGCAAAATTTTGTTTTGTTTGTGACCTCTGCACTGAGTGACAAACACAACCGTGGCCATCTTTTACACACACACAAAGGTAGCCATCTTTTCTAAATAAATGAAGTTCATGAACTGAGGTACCATTGTACTTGTAGGAGGTACAACCACCATGGATGCCTTGTTCCTGCTTTCAATAAACTCACCTTGAGAGGAAAATTAGCAAGTAAATAACAATCAAAATCTATAATAAAATCTGGTGAGAGTAGAGACAGGAACAGGACATAGTCGTTACTTGTACTAAGAGTGGAGGAATTAGACTTCACAGAGCACATGTTACTTAAACTAAGTTTTAAATGCAACAGAATGCATTGGAATCAACAAAACTCTCTAGCCTGACCCCTGAAGCAAGAGTCAGGCACACACTAGAACCAGTCTCAGGTCAGTAAAAAGACCAAGTCCATTCACCAACCACAGTAATTATGAGAAGCACAACAGGCCCTGTTTCTCTATCACTAGGGATCAATGACATTTTCCTATCAAGTAAGAGCAGCCTGGAAGTGCTAACACACCTGCAGGCACACCATGGTGACAGCTGTACACCCAGCACCAGGCTCTGCTATGCTGGAGCCTGGGGTCTGAGTCTTGGCAGAACTCAAGAGTTGAATGCAGAGACGATACTATGCACAGGATACAAACACTTCCACAGAAGGGAAATGAGGGAAAACAGATCATTACAATTAAAGTTTCCACTTTTCAATGTAATAACCGCTAAACAATTTTTGAAGGGTAAATATGTTGCCCACCCCCTAAAACTGCCAAATGCATTTAATATGTACCCCTGAACATGTGCAAAGATTATAGTAAATTGCTTCACAAACACAAATTATTGCAATCAGCATCTTGTTTTCTAGTTCTAAATTCAAAGGCAAACTATTAACACAAGACTGCTAACTCTTGCTATTATCACGCTTGCTATTATCACACACCCTCCTCCTTACAAAACCACATTTCCAGATGGACTGCCAAAATTAGTCAAGTGACTCCTAAGAAATACTACCAAGATTGACATGCCAGAAATTCATTGAGAAATGAATGCTTTATTTAAATAAAGCACACACACACACACCCAAACACACCTTTCCTTAGGAAATACAAGTTGTTTTATTTACAATTCAACTTGAATTGCAGCTCAGGGAGGCCATTCGGAGAAATAGTGGGACAGCTGGGCTGTTAGCCTGTCAGCATACTGATTAGTCCTGAGTCGAATGGGACAGACTGATGGTGTGCTGGGGGGTGGGGCGGAGTGGGGGGGTCTGACGGGGGAACCCTGAAAATAAATTAAGCAAAATATTTAAACTTAACCCAGACAAGGTGTGAGTGATACAGGAACTCAGCTGAGAGGATGGTCAGCCCTGTCTGACATAACGGGTTACTCAGACTACTTTGTCTTCTCTGTATTAGACACAAAGATGACTGATTTTTAGAAATGTACAAATCCTCAGCAATACGTAAGTCAAACAAATTAGATTATTGCAGTGCATTCTATTAGCAAGCATTCCTGCAGAACATAATTATCAGTGCTGTTGATGCCCTGGACCAGAACTAGTTGCTATGATTGGAATTGGAAGACTCAAAGAAATTTTCATATATGGCTGAGAGAGGGGCTGATGGGCTCAGGCCAAACAAGGAATCCGATTCTTCACGCTAAAACAGGGCCACCATGAATGGAAGTGACCTAGAACTCTCCTCCTGGGGAACAGCTAGCTGTGGAAGTTCTTTCTAGAAGAAAATACACAGTAGTCCCTTCTATCTGAGAGCACTTTGCTAAATACACACCCTTGGAAAACAGAAAACACACTTACCACTGGCCAGCTTTAAAGGAAAAAGTTTCATCGGAAACAAGCAAGCGGAGGCTCTTCACTGACGGTGACTCCCTAGCAGCTCCACACACCTTAGCTGCGGCCACAACCTGGAGGCAGAGAAGAGCAGGGCCTCAGGTTAGTGCAGACAGAGCGGGCTAACAGAGGATAGCTTTCTGGGAACGAAGTTGATTTTTTTTTTTTAAACCTATAAAGATAAGGTATTTGAAACTGCCAAACAAAGTAAAGCACGCTTTGCTTTGATTCCACCCACCATCAGGTGAATATATTTTAATTAAATTTTGAGAAACTTGCTATACTCATCTTATTCTGCATATAAACACCATCTCTTATGGGGATTAACCAGCATGCAATGCAGGAGTGTTTGTTGTGAGCGATGCACCAGGTTAAGCCCTCTGGAAAGAGCTCAGGGGACTGGAACCTGTAAGCAGTCCTGCCAGGCAGCAAGTTTCCAGGGTGGCCAGGCAGAGTGAAGCCCACTGTGCGCTTCTCAGGGTATAAGGAGCTCACTTCAGAAATTAAAAGCAGCACTCAGAACCTCTGTTAGCAATTTTACAGAGCAACTGTGTCTGTTGAATCTAATAACAGAAAAATTGCATTTATCCTCACATCTTTTACTATATTTACAAAATATAAACAATTCACAACTTAAAACAACAAAAGAGCTCTTCCTACAGACATTCTAAGAAACACTCTAAATGGTATTACCTCACTTCTGCCTCCGCGCCTCTCAAACTCACAGGTCTCTACCTCACTCTTTCTTCTGTCTCATGTTTCTCTTCCTCCCCTAAACCTGGGACATCCGCATGACTAGGGAAGAAAGACAAAGACTAGTTCCTTGACCTACTATTTTTGTTCAGCTCCACTGTGGCAGCAAATCAAATCCACAGCAACTGACCAAAATATGATCCTCTCACAGCTGTGGAGTTACATTCACAACTCCACCAAAGGCCGCAGTGGAAATCTGTCAGGATCAATGAACCTCCCACTGCCATTCTAACTCATTCTGGCTTTTTTTGCTCCGAAGGTCTACTAGGTTTAATCAAACTATCAGGGAGAGGTTATTTTCAAAAGCCCACCAGAATAATTCTCCTGATGGATGGTGGATTCCTTTATCTCAAATAGCTCCTAAAACTGTCCTTCTTTCACCTGCAAAATTCCTTACCTCTGTCCTTGTACTGGTTGCCAATCTTTTCTCCTCTGATAGCAACTGGATGATTTTTCATGCCTGTTCCTCTACCTGTACTCTTGGTCCCACTTCCAATCCCCCTGAAACACTACTCTATCACTACCCACCAGTCCTTTCCTTCATATCCACCTTTCCTCTTTCCAGTACTTTCCTGTTTCATCAGACAAATCCCACTGGTTCATCCTAAGCAATTCAGCCATAAAATAAAAGCAGTACCAGGATACAGTTGGTAACAATATGGGTTATGTAGCCAGATTGCCTAGTATTTGATCCTGGCTCTACCACTTACGGGCTGTGTGTGACTCTGGCCAAGCTACCTTGCCCCTCTCAGCTACAGAATGAAAATACCTTTAAACTCACAGGACTGTTATGAGGACTAAATGAGATAATATACAAAAAGCACATTTTAATGCTGCTGGTCCGTGGTAAATATTGTTATGGTGTTTTTGCATTAATTAAAATTGTTACTGTTTTACATGGTATCTTACACTTTGTTAATAATATATATGTTGCCCAGCACTAATGGTACTGCACAGTCCCTGGGGGACTTTGCATGGATGACAAGGAACTCCACAGGGTGACTGGGCTTGTACTACATATACATCCTACCCTGTCCATTATACTGTGAGTGCAAACTTATCTTAAATACTACCTTCAAGCTTTTAAAAACATCTTACCTACTCTCCCTTTCTCTACTGACAGGATTAGCTCTTCCTTAGCCTGCAGAATCTTCATTTTCCTGGTCTCTCCTTAACAAAGGAACCTGGCTTCTGCTCTCTGGAAGAACCATCCTTGAGGTCAAGTCTCAGTCCCCACCCTCCTTGGCCTCTGAATTTCCATCCTGAAGAACCCTCTTTGCCTGAGATGGCTAACACAGAACATTTCAGGTCCTCTCCAGCCTCCCCTACAAGTTCTCCTCCTTCCCCGACAGAGCTGCCTCACCCTCGCCCCAGGCTCAGGCCCTCACCATTCCCAAGGCCTCCCCCACTTGCCATGGACTATTCATCATTTCTGCCAAGCCCAGGCTCCCATCTCTACTCCCCATAGGTAACAACAGCCCATGCCTGAGGGAGCTTTAATCACAGATGGATGCCAGCTGCTTCCTTTAATGTTTTATGCGCATTAACTCATTCTGTTAGTGTGAATAATCATTCTGTAGACAGCGTTGTTATCCTTCACTTTGCAGATGAGGAAACTGAAAAGTCTGATGCTTGCTCAAGATCGCCGAGGGGCCAGATGTGGTAGTGCACACCTGTAATCCCAGCACTGAGAGGGCGAGGCATGAGGATTCAAAAATTTGAACTCAGCCTGGGCAATTTAGTGAGCGTTCATCTCAAAATAAACAAACAAATAAACAGGCCTGGGAATGTAACTCAGTGAAAAGGCTCAGGGCTCAAACCCTAGCAACACCACCACCACCACCAGACACACAAGAAAGAAAAGAAAGAAAGAAAAAGAAAGAGGAAGGAAGGAAGAGACAGACAGACAGACAAATAAAGAACTGCTGAGTCAAGATTCAAACCCAGGTTACCCTGGCCCCTCATCAACTGTTAGATTATCCCAATGGTAAACTTCTCTTATGCATAGAATTAAACCCACCATATTCTTGAGTAATTCCTGGCACTTGAGGGTGGTGCTTTGAACTGGGAAATGGAAAGCAAAGACAAAGAAGGCTACCTTGCTTTCCCAGAGCCCTGCATAATCAGCTTCTCTTCGGCAGGGTTTCAGTCTGGACCCACCTGGCATGAGTGAACCTAGTCAAATCCATTTCCAGTAGACAAACACATAAACTCTGACTCTTGCTAGCATTCTGTCCCTAACTGAACACAGCCTGCCTTTTCCTTGCCTTGATCATCCTCACTGCCCTAGCCTAGAATTTCCTTCTTTTCCTGGGAAGTGCTATACTGGGTTCCTCCCCAAGTCTCTCAGAGCAGCCAAGATGAGAGTGTTGCTCATGTTCCAACCTGAGCTCAAAAGCTTGCAAGGAGGCTGGGGATATAGCTCAGGGGTAGAATGCTCACCTAGCATGCTCAAGCTCCAGCACCACCAAAAGGTTAGCGCTAAAATAAAGTGCCAAAAGGCTCATGTGACTCATTAGCTTGTACTTCTCCTGCCACCACCCAACAGCCTAGATCATGCAGAAAGCACCGCGCTCTCAGGTCTACCGAGTCCTACTCATATTCTCCCCGTCTGGTCTTCCCGCTTCTCTCCATCATCTCAACTCTATCAATTTAACGTTTGTCTTACTGTATTTAGCATATACAATTAAAGTATAAATACTCATGAGTATGTCTTTCCACAACAGATCACAAGCCTCCTGAGGTCAGAGTGCATTTAATGCATCTCTAAATCAGCTGAGATCAAACACAGGCCCTGCACAGAAGGCGGCTCAGGTCAGAATGAATGGAAACTCTTAAAGGCAGTTCAAACTGGTTTCCAAAACAAGCATTGGTACAAATTCAGGAGGGTTTTGCTACCTAAGTGAGGAGGGTAAACACCACAGAAAATTCAGATGTTTTTTTAAATGTGGGAAAGGTCAGAGGGGGCAGGGATTTCTTCAGCAGACCTGGGTTATTCAGGGAATAACTCAGGTAGGAACATCTTATTTGCCACACAGTCTAAGTACTATATCTTATTTCAAGACAGGAAATAAGAATTATCACAGAGTCTCTCCATTACTTTATTATTCTCATTTTTTATGTTTACAAAAAGAAAGAAATTCTACTTTAGAGCCAGGTGTGATGCCAGGCACCTGTAATCCCAGCACTGGGGAGATTGAGACAGGAGGATCTCAGCGAGTTCGAGGCCAGCCTGGAATATAGCGAGTTCAAGGCCAGGCTGAACTACATAGCAAGACTTTATCTCAAAAAGAAAAAAAAAGAAATGCTACTTTACAAGCATTCTGTATTTTCTTTCAGTTTAATAATTTGTAAAAACATAGCCAATAGCTAGATTATTTCACTGCTAACAGTTTAACTGGCACCAGCTGGATTCACTAAGAAAACTAGTTATTTATAAGCTTTGTAAATACACTTACAAGAGTCACCTGGTGGCAAGGGAATCTATATTCATGATCACTGCAAGGGAAAGAGAATTTTAGCTGAAACATTTCAGAATGCTTCACAATCAAATGCTGGACTTTGAAACAATCTTTTCTCAATACCCATTTAATTAAATTTAACGAACAAGAGAAAGAAAGCAACACTTTCTATTAAGCCACGTTTTCATTTGGATACCGTCTATGAACAAGACTCTTCCCAGATGCAGTATGTCCTTTGGTATTAAAATCTGTTGTAATTCATCCTAACAATCTAGATAAAAAGGTTGCAACTGAAACAAGATACCTTGCACAATTTATGACTTTTACTTTATTTTGTCTAATTAATGCATTGACGAGGGGGCTGTAATTTGTGTCTTGCTGCCAGGTGGCTTGAACCACCAGCAGAACGTGCATGACTGTCCCACTTCCAGCCATGATATAAGCTCTGTAAGCTGCCCAACAGGACAGTCATACATGCACCACTAGTGGTGGTTCAAGCTGGCTGGAATGTGCTAATACAAATACCACGTATTAGATAAAGACTTAAAGCAAAGTGGGTTAGAAACATTAATGACATCTTTCAAAAGCCATAAAGCTAGTGCATGTAATTAGGATCTGCAACTGTGACCCTTGTTATATCCTTGTTTCTTTTATCAAGTAAGTAAAACACAATGATAATCTGTATGTCCTAACATTTGTACTTGCTCTTATACTAAATGGGTCAAAAGATTTCACAATTGAAACTCTACTAGCCACATCCTAACTTAAGAGGCATGGCAGAAAATGAAACTTTCCATAAACATTTAGATTCTTCTACCATTCAATAAAAACATTTGCCAACTATTCCTGGTACACATTTT